ACCCTGTCTCAGAAAAACAAAAAGATACCAAAGAACTCTCATGTACCAGAATACATAACACCTTGATATACTTCCCTAAATCTTAATTTAAAATCTAGTTGCTCAGGCTCTAAGAAAGACTCTTAATTTGATCCTGGCTACTTAGACTTTTAATAGTATTTCCTATAATTACCTATATACCACAGTGATTTCCCTTTGACCATACATTATAATTTTTATAAGTTTGGCTATAAGAATGGTCTTTTCGGAAACTTACTGGATACACACACTGCTCAAATAGCAAATGAAACCTGGTCTCACTTCTCAGACTGTATAAAATCAGACAAGAAATTCCTCAAAAATGCTAATACATTTGCCACTGTAATTTGGTCTGTATTTTAAATATCCTTTAACTCCAATCTCCACGATTAAGAAAATCCAAACCCTACTGCACAGAAGATGTTCCTATCCCACCCCAACAATATTACCTTGAACTGGGTAAGTCCTCCCATAAACTTCTATGATGGGGCAATTGAAGAAATATTCACAGAACATGCTGGTATCAATAGTAGCGGACATAAGAACGATGCGAACCTCAGGATAAGCCTGAACCACATCACGCAGTACTACCAAAAGGAAGTCAGTCTATTAAAACACAAACACAAAATTTTTTGAATTACATTAAGTTTATACAACAAGTTATGCCTGAAAGAGTTATACAGCCTCAAGACATCAGTTTAATTCAGTTTCTTACATGGCTCACAGAAGTGCAAGAAAAAGGACCACAGTGATATACAATAATAATTTTTAAGAACACTTGTAGCCTAGTAGTTGTGGAGATTAGAAATGAGTGCTAATTAGGTAGGGGGAAAGAAGGGAGAAAAAAAAAATCACCAATGAGAGCAAAGATTTCATCTCAAAATGTTCAATGAAATTTAAATTTGCAGAAGCATAACTTCAGCAAAAATGGAAAACCCAGAAGTTAAAATTCAGCTATCCAATCATCTGTAAAGCTGAAACAGTGAAAAGGTCATATTTGGTTCAAACAAAAGAAATGAAACATAAATCATTTATCACCCTAACAACATGAAAGCTAAAACTGATAAAACTTTTATCTGGCTATATGGTTCTCTCTACCCCTTTCTACCTCCGCCAACTACCACCATCCTGATTCTTATGTTTATTATTCCTGTACAGTCTCATCTATATGAATATCCAAAAATACACAAATAAGTATATGTATTTTAGAGACGGGGGTCTCTGCTGCCAAGGCTGGAGTGCAGTGGCTATTCCTAAACGTGATCATAGCACAAAGCAGCCTCGAACTCCTGGGCTCGAGTGATTCACCTCAGCCTCCTGAGTAGCTGGGACTATAGGCGCAGACCATTGCACCAACTATATATATATATATATATTTTATCTTTTAGATACAGTCTCACTCTGTCACCCATGCTGGAGCGCAGTCGTGTAAAATCTTGGCTTACTGCAACCTCCATCTCCAGAGTTCAAGCAGTTCTCACGCCTCAAGCTCCTGAGGAGCTGGCATAATGGACGCTCGCCACCGTGCCCTGCTAGTTTTGTATTTTTAGTAGAGACGGGGTTTCACCATGTTGGCCAAGCTGGTCTCAAACTCCTGGCCTCAAGTGATCTACCCACCTCAGCTGACTATATTTTTAAATTTTACTTAATTTATGGAAATGTGTATTTTATGTTTTCTTTGTATTTCCATTTTTACATACAACAGCACTGCTAAGATTCATCCACAGCTTACTATACTTATCCTTTCTGATGACTGTTTACTGTCCCAGTATCAAGTTAATTCACTTTCTTTTGCACATATCTGGCTTGTTTTCAGGATTTACTACTGTGAACATTTGCTACCATGAGCATTCTTGTTTAAGTCTAAACGGGAGTGCTAAACATATCCAAGTTTCTGTAGGTTAAGTGTGGGTATGGAATTGTCAAGCTAAAGGTTATGCAATTGCTGAACTTCAGGAGATAATGCTAAATGATTTTCCTAAGTATTTCCATTTATGTATCGCCATGAGCAGTGGAGAGATCCTGCTGATCTACATATTCTCCAACACTTTAGAATGCCTTTTTTTTGAGACTGAGTTTCGCTCTGTCACCCAGCCTAGAGTGCAGTGGTGCAATCTTGGTTAACTGCAATCTCTGCCTGCTGGGTTCCAGCAATTCTCCTGCCTCAGCCTCCAGAGTAGCTAGGACTACAGGCATACGCCACCAAGCCGGGCTAACTGTATTTTTTTTTTTTTTTTAAAGTAGAGATGGAGTTTCACCATGCTGGTGGGGCTGGTCTGCCCGCCTCAACCTCCCAAAGTGCTGGGATTATAGGCGTGAGCCACCATGCCCAGCCAAGTGCTCCTTTTTAATTAAATAAATGGATATAAAGCAGTGTCTTGCTGTGGTCTAGATCTATACTTTCCTGTTAGTTCCAATGAGATTGAACAGTATCTCCATGTTTATTAACGAAGTATTTCCTCTTCTATAAAAATGCCTATATTTTTCCTCATTCTTCTTCTAAGTTGTTTAAACTTCTCTGATTTGTAGAAGTTGCTTACATATTCCTATACTAACATAGTGGAATCTTCCAGCTTGTAGTTTTCCTGCAAGTATCTTTTGAATAAACAAATGAACGTAATATAGAATATACTGGATCTTTTATTTCAAGATTAGTGCATTTCATGTTTTCAGAAATCCTTTCTGAAGAAAAGCATGTCGTAAACACTTTAGATATTCTGGATTAAATATGTTTAATTTCACCTTTTTAAATGTGTTATCAGAGAAATTTATCTATATGGCTTACACATATAGATAATTTAAATTTTGGACAGCACTGTCTAGATGCTTATTTATATCTTCTACTTCAGTGTTTGAAAAACTTATGTGTCAACACATTTAAACTTCTCTATCTACATGGAGTTGATTTTTGTATTTAGTTATGAGGTAGGGAACTGATTTCAACTACTCTGAAATAACCATTTGTTTCCAGTTCTATTCATAGCTCATTCCTTTTCACTGATCTGACATCCCACCACTGTCTCATAACAATGTTGCATGTAACATACAATATACAATCCACTTCTGTACCCTGTCTTATTCCACCTGTCAACTCACATACTCAGTCTCGATTATTTTAGCTTCAAAACAAGGCTTGTTTTCTGTAAGGGAGGATTCTCCATTCTGCTCTTCTGCAAAAGTACTAGTTATTTGGGGACATTAAGCTATCTTAATAAGTATTTACAGTCATCTCATCAAATTATATGGAAGATCTTGCTGGGGTTTTAATTAGAATTGCATTCAAACTGTGGATCACCTTGAGAACAATTGATATGATATTAAATCCTTCTATACAGGAACATAGTCTATACTGTTTCACCGTTTTGTAATAGAACTTATCTTTCTTGTAGAGATCTTACATGTTTTTTTGTTCCTAGGTACTGAATACTTTTGACTACTATAATGGTATCTTTTTTTCTCAGTTTTTTTCTAGCTATTTGTATAAGAATATAAAGAATGCAGAAAAAAAAAGAAAAAAATCTAAAGAATGCAACTGACTTTGGTATATTTATATTAACCTTTCATCCAGACATACTGTTAAATTCTTCTATTATTTATAATAATTGGACTATAACTGCTCTTGGGTTTTCCATGTAAGATGACAAAACTAGGTGAGATTTATCTTTAAAGAGAACATGAAAAGTTTCTGCAGGCCAGGCACCGTGGCTCATGCCTATAATCCCAGCACTTTGGGAGGCCGAGGTGGGCGGGTCACCTGAGGTCAGGAGTTTGAGACCAGCCTGGCCAACACAGGGAAACGCAGTCTGTATTAAAAATACAAAAAATTAGCCGGGTGTGGTGGCACCTGCCTGTAATCCCAGCTACTGGGGAGGCTGAGGCAAGAGAATGGCTTGAACTTGGGGGCAGAGGTTGCAGTGAGCAGAAGTTGCGCCACTTCGCTCCAGCCTGGGCAGAATAGTAAAATTCTGAATTTAAAAAGAAAAAAAAAAAGAGCAAAGATTCTGCAAAGGTTTTTTTCTCATTTTTCACTGTGAATGGTATACAAACTTACGTCTTAAGCTGCTTAAGCTGACCAAAACCACTTACTGTTTTAGGAAAAAGACCAATGATAATGTAGTTTGGAATATTTAACTTCTAAGAACATTGCTAAGTTAACAAGCAAGTAAAGATAATATTGAAGTATTTGTTAAGAAAAAACTGTTTCCAAGAGATTATGAAGGACAAAAGAGCAAAAATTTTGTCGTACTGAAAACTTACATGATTTATAGCCATGATAAACAATCCAAACCAGTCTCATTTGCTTTAGCTTAGTTTTGCTAAAACTCAAGATTAACAAAAAAACAGATATAAAAGTGATTTCTAAAGAGGAGAAACTCTGAGGCCAGGCACAGTGTCTCATGTCTGTAATCCCAGCATTTTGGGAGGCTTAGATGGTTGGATCACCTGAGGTTAGGAGTTTGAGACCAGCCTGGCCAACATGGTGAAACCCTGTCTCTATCAGTTGGGTGTGGTAGCGGGTGCCTGTAGTCTCAGCTACTTAGGAGGCTGAGGCAGAAGAATTGCTTGAACCCAGCAGGCAGAGGTCACAGTGAGCCGAGATCACACCACTGTACTCCAGCCTGGGTGACAAAGCGAAACTCGATCTCAAAACAAAAACAAAAACCCATTATAAAATCTATTATAAACTTCTAATTCAAAGAAAAACAAGTCATAAAAATTCCATCAACTATTTAGTCATAAATCATTAGTTCAACTGCTGAATTATTCTAGCTATTAGTGATCACTGCAGTTATCTTTACAACATAAAAGGTCTTCATTTTCAAAATGCTTTCTGTAAGTTAAACAATAAGATTATTTAATCTTGCTAAAAAAAAGATTTCAATATCTTAGTGATTGAAGTTCATGATTTTGATGATGAAAGCAGGAGGGAAAGGGAAAACAAAGACATTCTACATGATTTCTCTTAACTTAGAAACAGTAGCATTAGTACCTTACTGTACTTTCCAGTTACTTACATTAATATCTCTTTCATGTATTTCATCTACAATTACATGACTGATTCCTCGAATGCCTGCTTCTAATTTTCTTAGGAGCACACCTTGAAAAGAAAAACAATCAACAAACTATTGAAGAGTTCAAAGAAGCAAATCTCTGGACAATTATCTATATTTCAACTAAGATACCCCAGAACATCATTTTAGGAAACAATCACATATACATTTGTGATAGTGTACGATGAGCTATCTTCCCCACCCCCCAACTGATTTTATGATTTCATTTTCTCAAGCTACAACATCTAATGGGTATATCATATGCTCCATGAAGGAAAAATCTACCAAAAGTTTTATTTAAACAAGAAATCTGAGACTGGTTCATTACTTCTTTCCAGCCATTCTGTTCTGCTACCAAATTTTCTTCATAAACCCGAAATAAAAGGTCAAAGTACATTACTGACCTACAGTACAAAACATTATACTGGCATGAGGACGAGGAAGTATAGACTCAAATCGAACACTGTAGCCACAGCTTTTTCCAGGCTCTTCTCCTCTCTCAAATGCAACTCGCTCTGCCACAGAAACCGCACTGATTCTTCTGGGCTGAGAGAGAAAAAAATAAAAGTGACTTTACAACTACAAAATTAGATACACTTGTTTATTAGGGTTTTTGGAATATCATACTAAATCTGTCCTACTGCCAACTGAATAATTAACAAAAAATAAATAAATAAACGTACAAAAATACTATTTGTTTCTACAGCATACATTTTAAAAAACGTTTTCATTTTGTATATAATATGATTCTACAACTTGTCATTGCCCCCGACTATTAAATAGTATACAAAGGTGATTTACCAGTAGGGAACAGGGCACAGCATACGCACGGGTTTGTTTTTCTAACTGACTGCCACACTAAAAACACACCTTTAGGAAATTATTTAACTGAGACATATGGGAATCAGGAGGGTGAACAATTAATTGCCTTCTTTGCCATAAGTACTGTGACCACCTTTTGCTCACTTGTTAACTCAGTAATCAAACATTCACTGCACTTTTGCATCAGGGCTCAGATAAGGTGCTAGAGATAGGTAGGAAACGAAAATCATTGTTTTCGATAAGCTCACAACAGCAGGTAACATTGAGTGTGTATTGCTATTTCCAACAATAAATCTGCAAAATTCTAACGGGAATGCTATAGGCTAATGTTGGACCTTTTAATGAAAACTCTTCTGAAGTGTTTCCGTGTCTTCTAAGTAAACAGAACAGCCTTTACTTGGTGGATATTATGGCTATTAGGACATGCCTAATGTATAGCTAAAGAGGTACAGGTATTGATCGACTTACGACCTATGCAACTCACGACCATTCGACTTTACGACCACAGTCGCTAGCCACGACTGCTCCGCGTCTGGCAGCGCAAACGTTGCCCACCTGGGCGTACGACAGTGCAGACCAGCTTCCGGCAGCACTACCATCTCTGCGTGCATATAGCCTACTCAACTTACGACCAAATCGTGTTACGACCAGTCTGTCAGAACCAATCGTGGTCCTTAGTCAAGCACTAGCTGTACATCAAGATTTATGTACTGCATGCTTTTTAAGTTGCCATGGATTTGACTCTAAAAGTTCCTGATGACAGGCTGTATTTCAGCTCCTTGCTTAAGAAAACATTTTCTGAGTTTAGATTTACTTTAAGTACCTATTTGGTATCGCATATTAGAAATACGACTGGGAAACCAGAGGATGACATAAGATTTAATATAAAACATGGTTTTAATTTCTATTCCTCTAATACAAGAGTTAATTAGGGTATGAGGCTATATACTATCACCTAGCTCATATTTATCTGACAATAAAGATAAAAGAGACTAAAAGCTGCCTTGCTGAACACACTGTACAAAATTTTGCTAGTTTTTACTGATCACTATATCTCCTTTATACTAAACAATCTTTTCAATAATCTTACTTAGCAATGGATAAGGATTTTTCTAGCTTTGTCATCATTTTCTTAAATTTCTCTGTAATTTCAGCTTTTAAGTAGAATTTCACAGAAATTAAGTTCTGAAGGTTCAACTACTGTAAATCAGATTAGCTGTTTAAGTATCAACACATCATACACACACACCCACCCGTTCATCCAGAGATTTAGTGAGAACAAAATGAGGTACAGACAGTACTCTGCACCTCAGTTACCCTGAAAAATAGTGTTACATGAAAGTATGAGCTCTGTATCTGACCATCAAAAGAGTTCTATGTACTTGAGTCAAGGAATGTGAAAATGTTATTTCACTAAAGGTACAAAATGTAACCACCAAGTTTCTGTGTCCTTTCAAAAAGTTGCTTTCATTATACAACCAACAGGTAAATGCTTGATACTACTATGATCCTTCTTTTCTACTATTGTCTTTCCTAAAGTTTTTCTTCTTTTTTCTAACATTTCTAACAGCTGGCTTCTAGAAAGACTTAAAATCTCTTAGGGTATCTGGCTCTTCAGAGGTGTGTTTACATGCTACTGGTACTCAGAGATTGCTTTGTCACACGGAGGTTATTTTCAAATCTACGATCCTTGTGGTTTCCAGATTACTCCTAAAATGAATATAGGCAGGAGATGGGTCAGCTCCCTAAGCAGTTATCTGTTTTAGTTTTTAACCACAAAACACAAACATCTTAAATCCCAAGGAAGCCATGATAGAGATTTTAAATACTAATACAGGAGGTGCTAAAAAACTGATCAAAAGTGCTTTTTGCTAAATTTTTCTAAGTATGACTAGAACATTAATTTCAAGACAACTATTCCGACAACAAGGAAACAAATGACCCCACAATCTCTTTCCTGTATTTTATATGCTTGTCTGATTTACCAACTTCCAGTTTCCTCAATAGCCCTTGACTTAAACAAAACACATTTAAAATACATACTAAAAAGATAAGTGTTTTTAATTCCTAGTTGATTTGACTAGAAATCTGTAATTTTTCTCGGGGGGAGTGTGGCAAAATGCACAAAAGTTAAAATATGCATACTCTTTGACCCAACAACTCTATGTCTAGGAATTTAATCCAGTTAATCAAATTAGTATATGAAAATCTATGTACAAGTATATTCATCCCAGCATATATAATATAGAAACACCAGAAACAATCTTTAAGCCAGGTGCAGTAGCTAGCCACTGAAATCCAACATTTTGGGAGGCCAAGGCAGGAGGAATGCTGGAGGCAACAAGTTCAAGACCAGCCTGGCAACAGTGAGACACCATCTCTACAAAGATAAACATAAGCTGGGTCTGGTGGCAGAGAGTCAGGCTGGAGGATTGCTTGGTCCAGAAGTTTGAAGTTGCAGCGAGCAATGACGGTGTCGCTGCATTCCCAACAGAGTGAGACCCTATCTCTCAAGAAACAAAAAACCTTTAAAATATCCATCATTTAAGAATAAAGTGGGCCAGGCACAGTGGCTCACTCCTGTAATCTCAGCACTTTGGGGGCCCGAGGAAGGCAGATCACCTGAGGTCAGGACTTTCAGACAGTCTGGCCTATATGGTGAAACTCCGTCTATACTAAAAGTACAAACAATTAGCTGGGCATGGTGGTGGGCACCTGTAATCTCATCTACTCAGGAGGCTGAGGCAACAGAATCACTTGAACCTTTGAGGCAGAGATTGCAATGAGCCGAGATCACACCACTGCACTCCAGGCTGGGCAAAAAGAGCGAAATTCTGTCTTAAATAAAAAGTTTTGTAAAAGGGATATACATAAAATGAAAAATTATGGAACTAAAAATCATATTATTGCTCTAATATTACAGTATGTTGTTACATAAAAGGGACAAGTTGAAAGTGTACTATGCATACATTAAAGTCTATCCTTGTGGTGAAAGGGCACACACCAAAAAGGATTCCTTCTAGATGGTGGCCACCAAGCCTGGCTTGGGTTTTTAATTTTTTATTGAGACGGAGTTTCACTCTTATTGCCCAGGCTGGAGTCCAACGGTGAAATTTCGGCTCACTGCAACCTCCATCTCCTGGGGTTCAAGTGATTTTCCTGCCTCAGCTTCCCAAGTAGCTCGGATTACAGGCATGAGCCACCACGCTCAGCTAATTTTTTTTTGCATTTTTAGTAAAGATGGGATTTCTTCACGTTGGTTAGGCTGGTCTTGAACTTCCAACCTCCGGTAATCCGCCCGCCTCAGCCTCCCAAAGCGCTGGGATTTACTGGCGTGAGCCACTGTGCCCAGCCAAGGTTTTGGATTTTTAAAAAATTATTCTGTTTTTAAATTTTCCCCAAGGTGTATGCATTACTCTTGTAGTATACAAAAAGCAATTAAAAATCATCTTCTAATTCTTAATGTAATTCTTAGCTCAGTAGAAATATTCACAAGACAGGCATTTTGTGTGGGACAACAATGCATAACGTGACAGTACCAATGAATGTTTAAACATTTTTTCAGCCTGCATGCCACCTTACAGTGTATGAGGATGCTCTACTTACCCCTTAAATAATCTATCACTTTTCCCTTGATCTTCTGTGCTTTAAGAATTATTTTATGTATTTGGCCACAGTGAATAAATACAAGGCAAGGCTCATAGGTAAAACGAGTTCTAACTACATCTGCAGGGCCACTTCTACTACAATGATATAGAAGTATTCTATAGTCCTCAAATATAAGTAAGAATCAACACAGAGACATCCAGAAATCACACTGTTTGTGTCATATAACAGTAAAAACCATGGTGGCACTTATGCCTTATTTATGCTTTGGAATACTAGTAAAATCTTTTCCCGTTTCATTTTAGTAGATTAAAAACACAAGCTCAAAGAGGTTATTTTTCCTAGGGACACATAAATGACTTAAGACTTCAAATTTTCTTTACTTCCACTCTAATCTTTTCTCCAATTATTTTACCTTTTATTATTTTAACTATGTTACACTTGTATTATTAAATATGTTTAAAAAGAAACAACTGACAAAAGTGAGACTAGTTAGAAAGTACCTGTGATGAAAGCAAAGGATAATGTTCTACCAACAGAGAGCAAAAGATTAGTTCCCAGCTGTCCTCCGGAGATGCATTTTTAATTTTTACTGCATAGATCTGTTGATCTCATTTTTTCTTTAGAATTTTACTACTCTTGCCTGGAGTCCAGACATAGTAGTAGGTAGTTTTAGTGAGTGCTCAGTAAATAATACTAAAGCACTCACTAAAACTACTATGTACCAGGTACTGGTAACACTTTCCATATCAGAGGAGGTTGGAGATCTCTCCCAAATTGTTATTTTGTAGTATTCTAGAATCCATATCTTTGATGTACAACTTTAGACATTTCCCCAGAAGTAGAACAATTTCTTCCATCTTTCAGAACTGAAATATTCTAAAGTTCTACAAGGTTCCGACTTTGCTTTTTTTAACAAGTGTTAAATACGCAGTAATGAGACTAAAGCTGCCATTTAATGTCAAGATTCCTAACATACAAGATATTACAAAATATATCAGGCTCCAACATCTCCTTAAGTTCTGATTTTATTTTACATAAAGAACAGCTCATATCCTGAAATGATGGTACTACAGGATGAGTACAGGACTGACAAAATTGCATTTATTTAATGTGCTTGATTTACATCCTACAATTATAATTCATCTCTTTCAAATAACTTAAAGGTAGACAACTATTTCCTACTTAAAATTTTCTGTGGCTGGGCCCGGTGGCTCACACCTGTAATCCCAGTACTTTGGGAGGCCAAGGCGAGCAGGTCACCTGAGACTGGGAGTTTGAGACCAGCCTGACCAACACAGAGAAACCCTGTCTCTACTAAAAATACAAAATTAGCCAGACATGGTGGCACATGCCTGGAATCCCAGATACTCAGAAGGCTGGGGCAGGAGAATTGCTTGAACTCAGGAGGTGGAGGCTGCAGTGAGCTGAGACTGTGCCATTGCACTCCAGCCTGGGCAACAAGAATCAAACTCCATCTCAAAAAAAATTTTTTTTTCTGCATGCAGCCCACAGGTTTTAAGTGGCTTGAATATGGACAGCCCTGAAGGACAGAATTCAGTGAGTATGGTCGAGAATTTACACCAAGGCTGATGTATGGTTTGACCTACTCATTCTGTTCTACTCCAGTCCGTAACTCTAAACTTGTGCTCTGTGAACTGAGTTAACACACTTAAAGTGGGAACAGAAAAAAACTTTCTAATATTTAGCTGATGGCTTCATGTGGTTTCCTATAGATGGCTACAAGTGGAAAGTAAGGGAAAAATGATTCAACAGTGGTATTACTACAAAAATAACTAATGCTATCTCAGACTGTGCCAACAGAAGTACTGTGAATTAAAAACATTAATAATAATAATAAAACTATATACTATAATAATGGCCAATCAGCATGCTCAGGCCTACTTTTCATATTACAGGTAGGATGCTAATGAATTTAAACGTGTTTAACTGAATGTTAAACATGCCTCACCTTCATGGCTGAACTATAAATGTTTAGACTTTCAAACTAAGTACATACTCAAGCACAATTTAGTTTTTTTTCCCTGAGACGGAGTTCCACTCTTGTCCAGGTTGGAGTGCAGTGGTGCGATCTCAGCTCACTGCAACCTCCGCCTCCCAGGTTCAAGTGATTCTCCTGCCTCATCCTCCCAACTAGCTGGGATCACAGGCGTGAGCCATCGCGCCTGGCCAAAATATAGATTAAAATTTTGAAGACTTGTTACAGCTAAGAGGTATGAGACTGATTTTGGGACAAACACTAGGATAAAAACATGCAAGCCACAGAATGTAGATGCAATAGGACAGTTGTAAGTAATTCATTCCAAATCAGAAGACAGAGGTTTGCTATGTATTTCCATGTCACTGAAAATTTTAAAAGACAGTGACAAAGCAATTCTCACTTCGGCAGGAATTTTTATTCTACTTAGACATGCAAACAACTTGAGACACCTGTCTTCAGTTTGCTTGTTAAATTCTGCATTTCTTTCTGCTATATGCCAGAACAGCTTTTGAGATCAGAAATGGATAGTGGTAGGAGAGGAGAGAGGAAAGGCAGACAGAGCTGAGCTTAAGGCTTCTCTTCTGTATATCAAACAAAATTTTGCAAACAAGAAAGCTAGGAATTCTTTCCCAGATAAACATGAATTTATCATTTTTTCAAGCCTATCAGTCTTAAGACATAACATGCATCTTCAGAAATTTTTTTCAGGCAAAAAATTCAATTCTTATATAAAATATAGATACTAAAAAAAGATGAAAAAAAAAAATGAAAAAAGAAAAATATAGATACTAATTATAAAAATGTATCTCAATTTCAGAAATGTTAAACAGCTTCGGATATATGCTTTATACATTCAAATGTAATTGAACATGCACACTTTTTGTTATTTCAAAGTTCATAACTCTCCTCTGAGAAGTGATTATGCTTCCAGGTTAAGCAACACATCTATGTAACAAACTTGAACATGAACCCACTGGGGAAAAAAATAATTTCTAAGTCAAGATATAAGCCTACCTGAGAGGTAGTACCTGACTATTTGCAATGCTCTCCCAAGTGTCAGAAGTACAGGGTAGAGCCAATGGAACTGTTTTAACCTGAGAAGGCTTACAAGAGCTAATTAGTTCTTCCCTAAGTACTGCGACAAACTTGCAGGCGCTGCTTATTGTTGGTAAGGTAACAAAATGTTATTTAAAAGTAAAAATCCTAAAAGGGAGATTGCTTGGTTTCTAACGCTAGTTCTACCACTTTCTGTATTAACCTTGGGCACTGTACCTTCTTTTGCCTTAATTTACTGAGAGACAAATACTACATGAAATAGTAATTATATCTTAGTCATTATGAACTTTGAGTCTTTTCTAAAGGGCTGCTGTTTAGAACATGGCCCTACAGTAAAAGTTAACCATTACCTGTTTGACTGGTTTTTATTCAATGTGAAGGTGGTAAGATAGAGATGATCAAGATTTGGATGAACTTTAGGAGAAAGAATTCTTATTCTTACGGTTTAATTCTAGGCCCAAAGACTCCCTTTAGCTCAGATAAAAAGAATTCCCCACATAGTCTAGTTTAGCTTACTAGTGTAGCATACTGGAGATTAGAAAAGGACATAAGTTCTTTTTATGTGTGTGTGTTTTTTAATTTAATATCAAGGGTACAATGCTCTAACTCTCAGAACTTTACATAATAACAAGTAGTTAATCAAACAAAGAATTAGAAATAGTCTGGCCTCTAGGTATTTCATGGTTGGTTTACTACTTACCTGAGTTACTACAATGTTACACTCTGCAGCTCGGTCACTCTGGATAAAGTCATCTAGAATGAACTGAGGAACCTGTGTGGTTTTACCACATCCAGTAGCCCCTCTAATAATGACAACTGAATTTTGACTGATTGCTTCCAGAATCTCACTTTCAAATTTCTTCACAGGCAGTAACTCTCTCTCCTGCAAGATCTGCATTAGAAAAGTCACATTTTAGTTAAATTTCTACCAACACATTAGAAGCAAGTATCTTAATCTTTTATAAAACCTCCATCTCTAGAGGCCAGGCGTGGTGGCTCACACCTGGAATCCCAGGACTTTGGGAGGCTGATGATCACAAGGTCAGGAGTTTGAGGCCAGCCTGGCCAACATGGTAAAACCCTGCCTCTATTAAAAATACAAAAATTAGCCAAGTGTGGTGGCGCACGCCTGTAATCCGAGCTACTCGGGAGGCTGAGGCAGGAGAACTGCCTGAACCTGGGAGGTAAAGGTTGCAGTGGGTTGGGACTGCGCCACTGTACTCCAGCCTGGGCAACAAAGCGAGACTTTGTCTCAAAACAAACTTCCATCTCTATAAAAACTTACTCATTTCCATTGGCTTAGTGATCAAAATATTTTTTTCCAAAAAGGAAAGTGTATATTTGTATCTCTAATAGAACTGCTTCTTTTCACTAAATTTCTAAAGAATATATCTTTTGGTGTTGTCCAAAAACTAATTTTCCTCATTCTCCCTAAACATCACACATGCATTTTTTAATGTTTTTTTTTTTTTGATTTAAAAAACACTAAAATAGAAACAAAACCCTAACAACAAAAGAAGTTGTTGCCTTAAATCTCTCCGCTTTTCAAATTACATTAAGTGAAAATCTCGCCTGGTGCGTTGGCACAGGCCTGTCATCCCAGCACTTTAGGAGGCTGAGGGCGGCAGAACACAAGATTAGGAGCTCAAGGCCAACCTGATGAACCCCATCTCTACTAAAAATACAAAAATCAGCTGGGCGTCGTGGCAGGTGCCTGTAATCCCAGCTACTCGGGAGGCTGAGTCAGGGGAATTGCTTGAACCTGGGAGGTGGAGATTGTGGTGAGCTGAGATAACATCACCGCACCCCAGCCTGGGGACAAGAGACTCAAAAAAAAAAAGGTAAAATTTTCTCCCAGGCCCTCAACTCATAGCAACTAATTTTAAGGGTAACTAGGATTAGCAGTTTGGTACATATCTTTGATTTGTCCTCCTAAAAAGGGCAAAATGTTTCATTCACTGAATTTTTACCCATACCTAGAACATTCTGAAGCTCTGGGCAACACATGTCTAAATAATTCAGACTTACTGCTTGCAAATCATGATCCTGTTCCAACTGGTACATCAATTCATTCTTGAGGTCCATGCTTATTTGCTCTGGAGTAGCCTGTAAAACAAAAACCCACATGGTTAAGCACATAATTCAGCTTCAAAATAAATCCATTTTTTACCTAGACATACTAATCAAACATACTCAAGAGTAAAACACAAGAGTCTGATCTCAAAAATAATACTGCACTCACAAAAGCCAGAGGCCCCTCATCAATGTTGCTACTGGTCCAAGGATTCCAGTTGGATTGTGGAGGTGACCAAGGAACCACACCCACTTGGTTCTGTCGTTGAGATGGTTCAAAGTGAGCCAATTTGCCAATGTTGAGAGCAACTGGCATAGAAGGATCTTCAGGCTATTAAAAAATGAGAAAAACAACAACAAAATGATTTGCTTGTCTACTGAGAGTTCTACATACATGTGAACTAAATAGCTGTATGCTTACCGGGGGCAGAATCTCAAGATTTAGCTCTTGAATGATGTTTTGCAGTTGATGCTCTAGATCTTGAGAGATGTTTACTTTGTAAGGCTCCACCTACAAAAAAGAATCACACATATAAATACTACTCAAATCTACTATGGTGGGGCTAAGACTATACAGTCAACACTAAGTCTACAGTATTCCTAAGCCAACAGTCAGTTCCCTTTAGTGAGAATTACTTCAATGATTATTATTTACTCATTGCCTATTACGGACATCATGCCAGACACAGATGATTAGCAAGGCCATTTCATTTCTTGAGGTAAGATTCCTTGAAATTAAACTTCTTTAGCCAAATACGAAACAAAAGCTAAATTATATCTCACGAGTCTATTATAAATCTAAAAACTCACTGTCTCTCCTTCCTTCTTCTTTGTAAGTCCAGAGTAAGCTTCAACCACTCCAAGATGGTAGAGTTGTCTAACAAGTGACAGGGCACAGGACTGTGCTGCCAATTTCTTATTTGATCCATGTTCTCGTGCAAAAATTCCTATAATGTAAGATCAGGTTTATCAGACAGAAGGATCAATCACTTAAGTAAAGAAACATATTATCACCAGGAACCATGGGCTTCGGTACAAAAAAAAGTCCTAAAATACAGTGTATGCCATGGGTACTTCCTTTTTATTCTATTAATATATGCTAAACAAAAGAAATTGCCAAACAGTTTATCAACTAAATAACCAACTGTTTTGATTACAGGCTGATACTAGGACTCACACAAATCAATATTATGAAAGCAAAAACCTATTTTAAAAGTTGTCAGTGTTATCTGGCATTAAAATAGCGGAAGAAAACATAGGCTGACTTTTGAAAAGCCAGAGAACAAAAATAAACCAATAAATGAAATCAGTTCTAGAGTGGTTACCTAGACCAGGGTTTGGAAAGCTTTTTCTATAAAGGGTTAATAAATATTTTAGGATTTGCAGGCCATAGTCTCTTGTCAGAACTACTCAACTCTGCCTCTAATGTATGAAAGCGGCCACAGACTGTTAATAGAGTTTGACAAACCATAGGTCTGGGAATGGTTTTATGTTTTTCAAGAGTTGTAAAAATAAAACAAAAATAACAATGTGTGACCTGTGAAGTCTAAAATATTATCATCTAGTCCTTTATAGAAAGAGTTTGCTGTCCTCTGACAAAGGAATAATTGTAGTTATGAGTGTAGCTATGTTCAAATAAACACTTATAAAAACAGGCAGTACATTGGATTTGGCCAGACAGCTACAGTTTGCTGACCTCAGCATTAAACTAAAGCTAACAGCTACTCATCTCCTTAAAGAAAATACTAATAGAAAGTTTCCTATCCCCCACTATCATTCAGTTTTAGGAGAAATGAATATAATGCAAAGGTGTACAAAGATATCTTTCTGCTTAACTAGCCAAATTAACCCTAATCAAATTAGTGAGGTGACAGAAGTTAGCCTGCCTTTATCCCTTAATATTTCCCATCCATTCAAAATAACTCATTTTACATATAAAGAAAGTTTTAAAATTCTTTTGACACTGGCAGACTCCTAATCATCCTGCTTTATCTTAACTTTCAAACATTACACTAACATGGTCTGCTTCACAGGTAAACTGGAAGACTTTGCCTCTAATGTATATAATTACTAATATTCTAAAATATACCCTAGATGCTATCTCACATTATGTGTTCTTTCAATAATACATCTTCTCTATACAAAACCTTGTAATACTGGGGAAACAGTAACACTTACTTCTGCCCAGTTGCTTGATATAAATGGTCATTTCTGCAATAAAGCTCCTGTAACAACATATACAAGCAAGGTTAGAAATTTCACTGTTAGAAATTGGCAAATCCAGGTCTCCCACGTCAGGCAGGCTTTCCAACTGCTTAGGCAAATCACAGAAAAAAAAATTACCAACATTTATTTCTGCCCAACCCTAGAACAAATGAAGTATATAAACTTCAAATACACAACATGGCATAAGACAACTATAATCAAAGTCGATGAGCCAATTGTTCATGAAAGGAAAACGTTAGGGTTTTAGATTTTATATTTACTTACTCTTATTCCAAAGGCTGGAGTCTGAACAGCAAGAACACATTCAATGAAAAGGAATTTTCCACTTAGCTTGGAGCCAAGAAATAAAGTAGGCCCAAAATGCTTTACATTACTGTTAGAATTGTTTTAAGATTCTTCTGCACAGGCCACCCATTAATGACTGCAAACTGTTAAGAGTAAGCTAATATACGCAAACTCACACATGCACATACACTTTGTGCACATCAATGGCTCCTAAGGCAGAGTTCTCACATCTGCCTGCAGTTGGAAGCGGCCCTGGATGACAAAAAACTTAGCCTATTTACATCACATTTATTTAAAATCAGGTCCTGGAGAACAAAATACATGTTGTAACATTGTATCTAAAACTGCTTGTGGAGTCTAGAAAATGAATTTAGGTTTTCACAAGGGAAAAACTGCCCTTTGAAATCTATGCATTCTGGTCCTTTCACTGCTCAGATACATTCTAAACCTAGACTGTGCTGTGAATAAAAGGCTAGGTGAGGCTTAAGAAAAAAATTAATGTTAGACTCCTTCCTATACCTCTTGTGAACTGACCTTCAGGCACAGCGGCTTCAGGGGTCAAAGGCCACTGGCTTTCAGGGGAACAACATCCACCCTTTCATTAAGGACATCGATGCCAGTATGTTTCTCAGCCAGGCTTAAAGTCAGCACTCAATCTCATTCTCCTCCACCTAGGGGGAACAGCGACACCAGAAATCAGTTTACAATAGTTTCCCATGTGATTGCTTAGTTCAGCCTAAGCAGCAGCACATGTGTATTATGAACACAGACCTCTGGTGTTGCTGTCTGTTATGCCTTTAAATTAAAGGCCATACAGGAATGCTGTCCTGGCTCCCCCAATTGTCTGTGCCTCTCACATTGTCTTTTCCTGAATTCTTCATTGCTTTGTATCAGAAATCTTTAAGATACTGATAACAAAAAAATGTCTGCAACGATGAGCTTCAGGCACACTTAGGTATCTTACTGTTCTTAAAGTCACCAAGTGCTACCAAGCCCAAATCGTTCAGAAAGACAAAATATGAAAGAAAACAATCAACAAATGTGTCACTCCTTTATAACCTGAAGGTTTTAAAAGGCTGACACCAGAAATATTTGAGAATTCAGGATTGAACAAAACAGTGGGAGGAAGGAGGAACCATGCTCTAAATATCATTTTGATCAGTGATAAAATTTTGTATTAATAATTAGTATTTTAGGGTCGCTAGATGCAGCCAAAAGAACACTTTGATTTTCAAGAAAAATATTTTTAATGTATTTTGGATAATTTATTTCAATAAGGACAGCAAATTAATCATTCAGAAGGTTTCCATTACAACCTCCCCTCCCTTCTAATAAAAATACACAGCTCCCCAGAAAAGTCTAATCCGTATGAGCCTTCCTGGGAGTAATAATTACTACACCCTGGAATGCTCTCAGGAAGAACAGCAAGCAGGCTGAGAAACATACTGTTCAAACGACCTCCCTTTATATTCAGTTTAATAAATTTAACAGGAAAAAAGTACACCCCAACATACAAAGACAGGCTGTTCCTTTTTGACCTTACGATTAGCCCTTAAATTTCAACAGGACTCCTAGGAAAGCTGGCAATTTTTAAGGCTTAAGTGAAATGTGGATGTAGATGCAATACAATCTACTTCTGGGACTCAACACTAAGTATCTAACCTATTTCTTTAATAAGAAATAGTAACTGCCTCTAAGAATACCAAGGTGAACAAAATCACCACCTTTGGCTGGTTTTTAAATCAACTAGGGACAAACCAGCACTTGTGGTTATGACTTTTGCCTTAAGATTCAAATAAGCAGCTTAAAAGTCTAGCATGACAAAAAGCAGATTTATACTGAACTTCTTACACAGCTAAAATTCACACTCATGTGAAAGCCATGGAAATTGCACATTACAAATCAATAATTATTCCTGTGCAAATTAACATATGTTTTCACAATTCACTTCTAATCCACACGACCAGAAAACACATACAAAAATATATTCCATAGTGAATGTCTAAAATCATCTTAGCTTACTACAGAAGGAAAAGAACGAAACAAGCAAACCTGTTGTGATCAGGACCCACTTGGGTGTACTTATATTCTCCTTGGATCTTTTCTTTCTGAAAATATTGGTTTAGACGAGCTTTAGCATTTTCCAAGGTCCAGTTCCCATGAAGTCCAGCATTTAAATCCACTTCTTCTGACTCTAGAGTCTGTGGAATCAATGATAATTGGACTACGTTAAGTTTGGTTACACAAACTTAAGGCATGGAAATTTTTAATCCTTCTTTGTACTATCCTTTATAATGCAAAAGCTGTTTTTGATAGTTTATAATCCTAGTAAAAAACTGAACCAGAATTAGTTTTTATTGCATCTAAAGGCCCTGTTACGTAAACAAGCTATTAGTTAATATACTGCACTTAAATTCTTCCTAAAGAAAAAAAGACAACTTCTTTGTGTTTAACACTGAATACATGAAATGGAAAAATAAGCTATATTATTAAAGACATTTTTTACTGTAAGTGCTCATAAAGTCAGGTTTCCTGAGATAATTATATTTCCTATAAAGCAAAAGAGGAAACCTTTTCAAAATCAAGAAAAAGTACTGTTCTTTCCCCATAGGCAATGTGAATAACAATAGTAAATGGGTAGTTATGATGACTTGTGCTAATAAGTAGTCTCAACCTCTTAAAAGATGCGCCCAATTATTAACTTGTAAATATCCTAAATCTTGAAGCTGTTAACTTAAGTCCCAAATCATATTCTCAGAGATGTAAGGTGCTAGCCTTACCGCTTGCACTTCTTGTTCTTCCTTTCTTGAGTAGTAATCCTTCAAGTTAGCTCCTCGGTCCCAGTTGGGCTCAGGAACACCATAGCCAGAGGACCCTCCCTCAGAATTATTTTCTGTTTAAAAATAAAAAAACAAATAAATAAATAAATAAAAAGTCCTCAATGAATTGTTACCGTGGACATATCCTAAATACTTTTAAAAATTATCCTAATTTATGGCTGGGTATGGTAGCTCACACCTGTAATCCCAGCATTTCAGGAGGCCATGGTGGAACCCCAACTCTATTAAAAAAACAAAAATTAGCCTGGCATGGTGGTGCATGCCTATAATCCTAGCTACTTGGGAGGCTGAGGTGACAGAATCGCTTGAATCTGGGAAGTGGAGGGGTCTGAAACGTCCATGACTTACTTGAAAAGTGTTAAATCACTGAAGAATTCAAACTGCAAATTCTGAGGCTAATATGCAGAGGGAAGCTATCTTAGTAGTGAATGACAGGAAGTGAATAACTCAGCATATATTATCAATATAGCTTTGTTTTAAATTTGTTACATATGTAACAACAGATTAAATGATGAAACTATTTCTTTTATAATATGACTGAAAAGATAGCTACCTGCTAGAACTAGTGATGGAAATAAGTTAACTATTGATGAAACTGCCAAGTAAGTAAAACTAGCAGCCAGTAATGACTATTAACCCAAGTTTATTACATCCATTAAAAAAACTTTATCCCTCAAAGTAATCATATGCAGTAGATACTACTGTTCTTTAAAAAATAGTAGAGACTTAAGCAATTTGACCAAAACCCTAGTTAATCTACCCTATGGTAGACATCCCAGTAAAAGCTGTGACTATTCATTAAGTCCTCACTTAATGTCATTGTTAGGTTCTTGAAAACTAAGAATTGTAAGTTATTCTGCTTAAAGTCTTAGCAGTTTTCAAGAACTTACTGAGGACTTACTGCATATAGAATTTCGCAATGGTTTAGATCCAGAGGATAAACAAGTCAACAATATATTTGGTAAGAACAAGGAACAAGAAAAGGCAATTCCTAAGATCCTTTAACCAAATATTCTAGCCCATGCAAAACCTATTTATTCAGAGAAAAATTTAGTAAAAGCTAATGATGGCAAAACTTTCTAAGTTGCTGACCACACTTTCTTAAAAAAGATAAAATAAATGATCTGGTGGTATGTGCAAATTTGTGAAGGCCTTGGGTTGTCTCTCTTAGCATCAACAGTTTACTGCAGTTCTTTTTACCCAAAATGAGAAACAGAGATGGTGATCAAGATTGTGTATCTCTTATTCTCCATCCTGGTGCATGCATTCAAGTCTCTTACCTGCTTTGAGAGCCAGATGTGGAGGAAGAGGTCCTCCCATGGTTGTTGGTAAACCTCCTTCAGCATTTGCTGTAGCATCAGGAGTATCGGTAAGTGGGGGCGGAGATGCCACCTGCAAGAGAAAAAGTCAAGGCAGGGTCAGTGCTTTTGCTTTCACAGAGATTAGTAAATTCTTTTAATATTTAAAAGAGACCCATGTGTCACACCACCTTTCTTTGTAATATTACCATCTTTGTTTAGAGGTTAAGTCTCTAGAGCAGTATATCTCAAACTATCTGAAATGAAGAACTGGCTGAGTGTTTCCCCTAATCCACTGGGAACATTTCTCTAGGATCAGCCCAATTAACCAAGGCCTGGGAAAAATCCAATGGGCAGTACTGTCACCACAATGCTAACTCGTCCTCTCTTTTTTCTACCTACCATCTTGCCACTCCAGGGCCTCATATTCCTCTCTACCTCCCTCTCTACTTACATCAACCCAAAAGAAAATTCCTAACCTATGAGAATTGAGGTGTCTGAGTGATACAACTTCTGTTTTCCAGTGATGGGGAAGATTTCCTTTTTTAACATTTCAAAATCAATTAAAACAGGTGAGGTATAAGAGTATTAAATTGTCATAGTGCATAATCTTGACTCTGCCTAAGGAAGAGTCAGCAATATGAGAAAATTTTTTTCAAGTAATTTACATTAAGTATTTTATCACATTAAAATATACATTTAAATAGCTAAAGAAAAATAGATTTTTAGTAACATTGGTAATGCTATAGTCCATTTATTTATTTTTCTGTCCTCACAATATGTTTCTGTTTTTTTAAAAAAATTTTTTTTGAGACAGGGTCTCACTCCATCACTCAGCCTGGAGTGCAATGGTGCAATCACAGATCACTGGAGCTGTTGGGCTCAAGTAAGCCTCCTGCCTCTACCTCCCAAAGTGTTGGTATTACAAGTGTGAGCCGCCACACCATTTTTCTTTTCTTTTTTTTTTTTGAGACAAGGTCTGGCTCTGTCACCCAGGCTGGATGATTTAGCCTTGGAAATAGTCAAGTACTGATATATTCATTTCAAAAAGACGCAAGTATCTGACAGAATACCCAAGCTTGGAATAGTATTATGTATGAATACCTAATACTTAACGATATGGTTTCAAACTGTATCCAAAAGGAAGATAAAAAAAAAACTAAGGAGCAGTCAGAGACAGAAAGATAAGAGAATCCAGTGCCAGAGAAGACAGAAAAATGTGTTGGTTTGGAGAATGTGATCAATAAAGCTGAATGCTGATGAAGTTTAAAAAAAAAAAAAAGGGTGTGTGCGCATGTGTCCATTTTATACTGAAAAAAATTTTTGATATGGCAAAAAACACAAGTAAAAATAAAGCTATAATAGGCAAACTGAGAAAAATGTTTGTGACACATCACATGTAAAGAGTTAATGTTGTTAACATATAAACAGAAGAACAGACCAAGAATTCAATTAAAAAAAAAAGGAAAGTATATGTATAGGCAGTACACAGAACTACATAAGCAAATGATCTGTAAAGGCCAAAAGATGTTTGAATTCGCTCATAATTTTAAAAAAAAAAAAAAAAAAAAAAAAAAAAAAAAAAAAAAAAAAAAAAAAAAAAAAAAAAAAAAAAAAAAAAAAAAAAAATACACTAGTGATGAGATTATAGACCAAGGTTTCTCAACATCTGCACCACTTGACACTTCGGCCAGGTAATTATTTGCTGAAGAAAGCTGTCCTGAATACCACGGTTTTTAACATCCTTGGCCTCTACTCACTAAACACCATCAGCACACCTCCTTCAAGTTAAACCATCTCCAGACGTTACCAAACGTCCCATGAGGGGGTAAAGTTTATGAAACAATCAGAAAAATCTAAACATTAACTGGATATCTGATTATATTAAGACACTTCTTAAATTTTTCTTTTAGGCTTCATTATGTATTTTTTAAAAAAAGGATATTTTAATTAAAAAAACTGAAATATTAACAGATGAATAATAAGATGTCTGGGATGCTCCCAAATAATCTAAGAAAGGGGAGCAGTTAGGGTAGAGATGAGTCAAATTGAAAGTGTTGCAGCCAGATGATGGAAACACGGAGTTTCACTGTATTAGTCTTTTATACACATCTACAATTGTCCACAGCAAAAAATTTTCGAAATATCCTCTACACAGGTCACTTTTGGCAAATCCAATTTATGGCATGAAAGGTTCCAGATGAAATAAGTGATGTGAAAAAGGATTTGCCTGGAATGAGGAGGTAAGATAAAGATGGTAGCTAGCTAACAGTTTGGTTACGTGTCCCTGCCCAAACCTAACGATGAATTTTTTTTTTTTTTTTTTTTTTTGAGATGGAGTCTTGTTTTATTGCCCAGGCTGGAGTGCAATGAATTGATCTCAGTTCACTGCAACCTCCACCTCCTAGGTTCAAGCAATTCTCCTGTCTCAGCTTCCCGAATAGCTGGGATTACAGGCGCATGCCACCATGCTTGGCTAGTATTTGTGTTTTAGCAGAGGCAGGGTTTCACCATGTTGGCCAGGCTGGTCTCGAACTCCTGACCTCAGATCATCTGTCCATGTTGGCTCCCCAAAGTGCTGGCGTTACAGGCGAGAGCCACCATGCCCGGCCCTCGTGTGGAATTTTAAACCTCAATGTTGAATGTAGAGCTTGGTGAGAAGTAAATGGATGACAGGGTAGGTTTCTCATGAATTGTTTAGTACTACATTCTCACTATCCAACAAGAGCAAGTGTGTTCTCCTGAGATCTGGTCATTTAAAAGTATGTGGCACCCTCCCCTTTATTTTCTTTTGCTCCTGCTATATAGGATATGCCTGCTTCCCCTTCACCTTCCGCACCCTCATTCTAAGTTTCCTGAGGCCTCTTCAGAAGCCAAGCAGATTCCAGTACCACGCTTCCTGTACAGCCTGCAGAACTGTGAGCCAATTAAACCTGTTTTCTTTTTAAATTATGCAGTCTCAGGTATTTCTTCATAGCAACCCAAGAATGGACTAATACAGTGGTTACAAGTAGAAATGGGCTGTTATAATTTTCTTAAATGAATTCATTCACTTATTCAGTGAACCAAAAAACATTTAAGCGTCTGCTATAGACCAGAACCATTTTAAATGTTGGGGACACAGCAACGAACTAAAAACAAAAAAATCCCTGCCCTCATTAACTTACATTCTAATACAAGTAAACAAAAATAAATTAGGTTGGAACAGGGCTTCTCACCTTGGTGACATTTTAGGCTGGATAATTCTTTGTTATATGGGCTGTCAAGTGCACTATATGTTATTAGCAGCATTCCTGGCCTTCACCTACTAGATGCCAGTGGCCGCCTCCAGGTATAACAAAAAAAACACATCCCTTAAGGGGGGCAAAATGGTCTCCAGTTGAGAAGCACTGAGTTAAAAGTAAGTGTTATGGAGAAAAATGATAAAGTGAAAGGGTTTAAGAAGTAACCTAAGGGTGACAGCGAATTGATAATGTTAAACAGGACAGTTGGGGAAGAGTCCTTCGGGTAGAAGAAACGGGTATGAAAGTTTTGAGACAGAAAGAGGGCATATTTGAAGAACTATGAGAAGTACAGTGTAGCTGGAACAGAGGAAGGAGAAAGCAGGAAATCCACAGAGCCATTTAACAGAAAATATCTAAGCCATGTTAAAATACTAACAAAAAAAATGACATAAGGGATTACTCCTGGTTATAGCCAAGTAAGCTCCTGTAAGACTGACTCTCCTGCAGGTAACATAAACTTTAGGAAAAGAAAAAAATACACACACACACCACCCCAGAACTATGTTCAGGCAATAAAAAGTGAACCAAAACAAAACAAAAAACAAAACAAAACAAACAAACCAGGTAGGTTCTTGAGAGAAGTTAAAATAGGGAAGCACAGAGTATCAAGGGTCTAATTCCAGTTTATTGTAGCTTTTAGCCTGAGGGAAGCCATCTCAAGCATCTAAAATTCCAATGAAACCACCTTTTTGGCCTGGAAGAATCAGAATGAGAATTCAGGGAAACCAAAGCTAATAGAAAGTGAGGGAATGCTGGAAAGGAAAATGCCAGAGAGGAGTAGAATTCCCAAATTCTGTATATGAAATATCTGGCTAAACCCCTGAAAACCACACATCATGTACAGGGCAGATTCCAAGCTGCCCAGCAAAGGAGACCTGAAGGAGTCTTCCTTGGCTGTCCTATTTAAACAATCAGAAAACTGAGGTGCTATTTGAGTTAACACCCAAAACACAGCATGCATTTTGAGTCCAATCAAATTAAATGGCTGATTAAAAACAAAACAAAAAACCAGATCAATGCTCTCTGGAGAAGTGTAACATTCAGAATCTCCACATCATAATATTCTAATGCTATCTGGTCTTCAACTTCATTTCCCTAGCATAAAACTCCCAAACCCTTATAATCTCCTAAGTGGAGATTTTTTGTATGCTAACGTGTTGATTGCTGGCTGGCAGCCCCTAGATAGCTTCAGTGTAGAGAATGGTCACCAGGAAAACCAATGAAAAAGATTAGAGGGCTGGAACTTCCAGTCCCACCCCCCAACCTCTGGGAAGGGGAGAAAGGCTGAAGGTCCAAGGCACAAATGGCCAACGATTTAATCAAAACTGAATAACGAAGTTTCCATAAAAACCAAATGACAGGGTTTGGAGGGCTTCCAAATAGCAGAACTCGTGGAAGTTCCTGAAGAATGGTATTCAAGGCAGTACATGGAAGCTCCCTGTCCCTCCCCCTGTATCTTGCCCCATATTATCTCTTCAGCTGTATTTTTTAGTGTACTTTATAATAAACTGGTAAATCTGAGTTCTGTGAGCCACTCTAGCAAATTAACTGAACCCAAAAAGGCAGTCATGAGAACCATAACTTGAAGCTCCCTAGTCAGAAGTTGTAAAAGCCCTGACTTCCAGGTGGTATCAGAGGGGGGCTTGGGAGTCTTGTGGGACTGAATCCTCACCCTGTGGGATCTGACACTATCCAGGTAGTGTCAGAATTGAACTGGAGGACGCCCAGCTAGTGTTTGCTGCAGAACTAATTGCTTGCTTGGTGTGTGTAGAAAAAGCTTCTCTCCCACTACCCATTTTGGTCACAGAAATCTTCTGTATTGATTGTGTGGTATGAGAGAAGAGGAAAACTTTTTTTTATACTCACAGACTAAAAGAGGGAAAAAAGCTTTGGCATTCCACAATTCTATACCCAGTAAAAATATTCTTAAAGAAGGCAAAATAAAAATATTTTCAGAAAGAAAATAAGAGAATTTGTCACCGGGAGATCTACATGACTAGAAAAGAACTTAAAAGATACAGAATGAATAGATGGAGACTTCAAAGACTTCCAACATGTAAAAGATATTTGCAAAACTGTTTTCACAACCAGAAGGAATTTGCAAAATCATCTTGCCCAATCCCTTCATTTTACAGATAGGCAAACCAATGAGATTAAAGACTGTAAGATCCTATAATTATCCAGCAGTTAATCTACCAGAAATGGAAGGAAATAAGATTTCCTTTATAACGAGTCAGAATACCATCATAAACAAGTCAGAATACAAAAATTCAGTGAATAAAAGATCATGTTAAAATTGGCATGGACAGGCCAAGTGCGGTGGCTCATCTGTAATCCCAGCACTTTGAGAGGTCGAGGCAGGAGGATCACTTGAGGTCAGGAGTTCAAGGCCAGCCTGGCCAACTAGAGAACCCTGTCTCTAGTTAAAATACAAAAATTAGCTAGGTATGGTGGGACCTGCCTATAATCCCAGCTACTCAGGAGGCTGAGGCAGAATTGCTTGAACACAGGAGGCGTAGGTTGCAGTGAGTGCAGATCATGCCACTGCACTCCACCACTCCACCCTAGGTGACAAAGCAAGACGCCGTCTAAAAAAAAAAAAAAAGAGAGAGAAAGAAAGCCTATTTCTTAAAAACTACTAGAGCCCAGTGTAGTGGCACACACCCACAGTCCCAGCTACTGGGGAAAAGCTGAGGTAGGAGGATGGCTTGAGGCCAAGAGTTTGATGGAGCCTATGAATAGTCACTGCACTCCAGCAGCAAAAACCAAAAAAGCAGAAAAACAAAACAAAAACAAACCCCAAAAAACAACCTACTAGAGAGGGATATTAATTGCTGCATACTTACAAAACTAAAATAACCACGATAGAAAGAACACAAAAATACTCCATTGCATAAAATACTATTTTATTACATAAGGACATGTCAGCCAGGTGCAGTGACTTATGCCTGTGTTACCAACACTTTGGGAGGCTGAGGTGGGTGGATGGATCACTTCAGGTCAGGAGTTCGAGACCAGCCTGGCCAAAGTGGCAAAACCCCGTCTCTACTAAAACTATAAAAAATAGCCACGCATCATGGTGTGTGCCGGTAATCCCAGCTACTCAGAAGGCTGAGGCAGGAGAACTGCTTGAACCCAGGAGGCAGAGGTTGCCATGAGCTGAGATTGTGTCACTGCACTCCAGCCTGAGTGACAGAGAAAGACCCTGCCTGAAAAACCAAACAAGTTCTCAGAAGTGGTGGCATGCACTTGTAATCCAGCTACTCAGGGAGGTGGGGAGGGTAAGGCTGAAGGATTGCTTGAGCCCAAGAGTTTGGGGCTGTAGTGAGCCAACACTGTGTCACTGCATTCTAGCCTGGGTGATAGAGCAAGACCCCATTGCTTACTGGGGGACAAAAAGTGTCAGTGGGAACAAATGTGTCTAAAATATTACTAATTTTTATATTCTATTTAAAATATTATCCTTGGAAATGAGTAGAACATAACAGACTCTGAAATCTCCGGTGTATAAATTCATGGAATAAATAAAACCGTAAGACACAAAGATTAATAGAATTTCTCAATCCCCTAAGACAAGTACATAATAAGGATGCAATCCACATCTTCAGAAACTTTGTCCAGTGCTCAGAGAAAACAAGATGCCAAATTTCATTAAGAAACATGATATATCTGAAAATAGTGAAAAATTATTACCCTGAAACTCTAACACACATTGAGTTTGTATAACGTTACAAACACACATCTCAAGTGCTTGGCCATAGGTACTTACCCCAAAAGCTGGAACTTCTTCACTCTTTATTTCATTTATTCGAACCAAATAGTTAACAAAGTCTCTGGCAGCATTGCTCTGTGCATCTTTTTTATTGGTGGAATTTCCCATGCCAGTGTAATTATACCCCTCCACCTGAACCTTTAATTAAATAAAAAAAAAAAAAAAAAAAATAGTAGTAAAAGACTGACCTGGGTAATTCTGCTATTTTAACAATCTATAATTCAGTAGTCTATTAAGAAACAACAGCTAACTTTAGAAAATAAACTCTAAAGATATACTGAAAATAATACACCTAAAAGAATTCATGAGCTACTGATAGTAAAAGCTTAAATTGTGTTGTCTAGTGATAAGCTAATCCAAAAATAATGTAAGTGGTTCAGATATTTTCTTCTCATCTAACAGAAGGTTCACATTAAAATCTGATTTTGTAATATCCATGAACAAGCTCTCCATTTGTATTTAAGCACTTTGCTTTGAAGCAATCAAATTGCTCTGCTTTCTGAGTGTTTGCAAAACTGTAAACAGTTGATCCAACTTTTCAGATCCCCACTCACTACTGGTACTGAGGAAGCTGGGGGAGACATGTGCTCTAATTAGAATAATTTACCTGTCAGATTGTTTTATAAGTAATGCTGACCTGAAAATGATTTAGAATAGCAGTCAAGCCACAATTAACAACTGTTGTTTCCAAATGTGAAACACATTAACATCTCCAAACAGAAAACATTTTACTTTTAACCCCAAAACGAACCCCATGAATCACATAAATGTAAACTGTAATCTTCAGTACCTCACACATGAATTTCTGCCTGTTTTTGTTCCCCACTGCTCTAATTTCATAGGATGGGGTCATCTTCCTTTTGCCACACCAGGCATACAGAAAATTTTTAACATCACCCATTTTTCAAGTGTCTTCTTCAGACCTAAGGAAACAAAAATCAGTTAAAAACAGCATTTATAATAACAAAAATTGAAGAGCCAATTATCTGGATTACTGAATCTAGGTTAAACACAGGACATTCTATCATGTTGCTATTAAGACTGCCTATAAAGAAACTTTAATGACATAATTGGAATGTTTGTATGTTTAAAAAAAAAAGATACAAAACGGTATTACTTGAACTACATGAAAAGTATATACACATGATCGAGACTGGAAAGAACAGCCCCTAAAATGGTTATTGTTGGGGACTATGAGTGATTTTTATTTTTTCTTACAAAGTGTTTTACATAAGGCCCTACATTCTACAATGGGCATGTTATGTATTTAACTCACTTCACCCTCACAACAATGGCAAGCAGATACGGTGGATACTATCACTGTCTTTTTCAGGGAGGAAGAAACTAAGACTTAGAAAATTAAGTAACTTCCAAGTCACCCATAGTGGAGGCCTAAATTCAAATCCAAACTACCATATTAAGAAACAGGTATCATTTGTGTATAAATTCAATAATTTGTTCTCACTCTGATTATGACCACTAAGACACTGTCCTGAAAGTTGTAGGCTGCATATATTAATAAGCTCAAATACAGGGAAGAGGCGGGATCAGTTAAAAAAAAAAGTTCAAATGCATTAAGCACTCAGTACTGAAGACAGTAACCTATTAAATGTTGTATGCCAAATCTCTCCTTTAAACCTTATTATTCATTAAAATTTGAGGATATTCAAGGTTTTCTTGAAGTGCAATAATCAGTCTTGGCACTCCTCTACCTCAGACTAAATACCACAAGATAGGAAGTCTATGAGTCTAAATGCTGAGTCTGAACTGTAAAGCAAGGTATCTGAGACCACATTTACAACCAGAGTAAATAAAATATGCTATGAATTTAGTTTGCTATGAAACGAAACCCCATTACCAGCATTAAACCGTCTGCTTCACGTTTCACACTTGACACGTTTTGTTAGCACCTACATCTAATCTCATCAAACTGCACCGGAGCATAAGTTATGTTTATTTAGTGGCCACAGTTTAACTCTGGTCAGCCATTTGGCCAAGGCAATGTCCTATTAATAAAAAGCCGTGGAAAGCTGAAGATGTCTATGTGGAAATTCCACCTCATGAATAATTAAACAACAAGCTCTCATGGTGAATGAATAAGAAATACGAAGGACTATACTATCAAAGTCCCGTCTCCGTAGTCTCGTACAACCCCATAATGTCCAATACCAACTACATGCTATTGATGCCCAGATATATATGGAAAGTTAGGCCAAGCTCGGTGGCTCACGCCTATAATCCCAGCACTGTGGGAGGCTGAGGCGGGCGGATCACCTGAGGTCAGAAGTTCAAGACCAGCCTGACCAAAATGGAGAAACCCCGTCTTTACTAAAAACGCAAAAATTATCCGGGCGTGGTGGCACGTGCCTGTAACCCCAGCTTCTGGGGATGCTGAGGCAGGAGAATCGCTTGAACCTGGGAGGCCATGGCTGTGGTGAGCCGAGATCGCACCATTGCATTCCAGCCTGGGCAACAAGAGCAAACCTCCGTCTCAAAAAAAAAAAATAAATAAATAAAAAAGAAAGAAAGTTTAAGTCTTTTTTTTTTTTTTTTTGAGACAGAGTCCTGTTCTGTCGCCCAGGTTGGAGTGCAGTGGCGTAATTTCGGCTCACTGCACCTCCGCCTACTAGGTTCAAGCGATTCTCCTGACCCAGCCTCCGGAGAGTAGCTGGGATTACAGGCAACCGCCACCACGCCCAGCTAATTTTTTGTATTTGTAGTAGAGACTGCGTTTCACCATCTTGGCCAGATGGTCTCGATTTCCTGACCTCGTGATCCGCCCGCCCCGGCCTCCCACCGTGCTGGGATTACCGGCGTGAGCCACCGCGCCCAGCCAGTCTTTTCTCTTAAAGGTCCAAAATCAAGTTCATCCATCTGTGGCACGAACTCACCCATGTGCCATGCTAACTTGGCATCTCAGTCAAAACCGAATTTTAAATTTCCCCTCAAACCTGTTTCAACACCCTGCCACTACATTTTGGTCTCCAAAAACGGTACAATATCCACAAAGTTACTCCTGGCACAAGTTGAGAGTGGTCTACTCCCTCAACATTCTCCATAGCTATCCCTTGCAGAACCCTTAACGTGTGTCAGACAACATCCACAGCAGATCATCTAAATGGAACTATTTTACTTAATCCTTAGTAATCTTGTAAAGGTAACATTACCATCCCTTTAGAGAAGCGAAAACTGAGACAAAGAGTATCTTGCCCCAGGAAGACAGAGCTCCTAATCAGAAGAGCAAGAATTTCGGAAAACACAGCCTGACTCCAGATATACTCCCTTCCACCACTACGCAATTCTGCTTCAAAATATGTCCCCTAACCATTCGTTTCTCCCCATCTCTCCCGCCACCACTACGGTACACCCGGACTAGCGCAGTAATGTCCTCCACGGTTTCTGTTTCCACTCTATCCACCCTAAAACCCATTCTCTGAAGTCCTTCTCGCCACCCTCCAGTCACATGGTCTGCTTTCAGCTCCCGCCCAGTCTCTGCCCTTAAGCGGTAACTAATCCCTTCCGCTTCTGCAGGCTCTGCTTTTCCTTCGCAGACGCCGAGCAATCGGCTCAAGGCCTCCCTCCAACGAGACGCCTCGCCTCGCCCTATTAGCCAAAGTAGCTCTCGCTTTTCATTTTTAACGTTTCTATCTTTTGGTCTATCCACAAGGCCTGCACGACGGCGCCAGTTATTTCTGGCTTGAATGACTGAAGGGCCCTGGGCAAGTGGCGCCCCAGCCGCAACCGCCTCAGGCGACGCACCCCTTCCCTCAGCCGCCGCAGCGCCCCGGCGTACGCAGGCCGGAGGAGGAAGCGGGCCTCGGCTGCTAGAGGCAGCAGCGGGAAACGCTGGGCTAAGCGGGGGGGCCCACCACAGGCGGCGCGGACAGCGCAGGCGCACCGCGGCGAGGCGAGCACGCAACCCGCAATCCGGGGACCCGCGGCTGGCTCTTCCCTTCCCCCACCCCCTGCCGCTGCCACCGCCCGCGCTTCGCAACAAAGCCGGCTACAGAGCCACGGTCCACGCCGCCTTCCCGCAACCCTGCCGCCCCACACGGTGCCCAAGATGTCTCTACCTTACCTAAGCTTCCGTTTCCTAGTGCTCAGTTGTTAGAACCGTGCGTGGCTCTGGCCTTCCACGGAGACAACAGAGAAACACACAGCAACTTGCATGAAGGAATCGGCGAAATGGCTCCGACCGAGGCGCGAGGGGGCGGAGCCAGCGAATGTACGCATGCGCAGAACGCGCGCCGGGATGGGGGATGGTGAGGGCGCGCCAATAGAGGGGGCGGGGCTCAGCCACCTCGCGGCGCGGAAGGGTTTCGTTGCCAGGGAGATGCACTGCGCCGGGCGGGCCGCGCGCCAGGCCTGCTACCCTGGATAATCCGCCACTCGCTTTTGCGCCTGTTAGGAGTTGAAGGCCTGTAGCATTCTGATGCAGCAAAATGTTTCGCAGGATCTGTCATAGGGATCTCTGGTGACAGGAGGTGCCCTTCGAAGGCAGAACTGGAAACCTTACTGCTAACTTGGTAGGGTTGAGATATTTACATGAGATGGCATATGAAGGGGGCTTAGTTCAGTACCTGGCACGTGGTAGGTGTTCAGTAGGCGTGGTTACTGGAGTGATTCAGACAGTCTGAACATCAACGTCTCTTGAAAGAAATAAACTGGTTGGGTTTGGTGGCTCACGCCTGTAATCCCAGCACTTTGGGTGGCCGAGGCGGGTGAATCTGGAGTTGGAGACCAGCCTGGCCAACGTGGTGAAACCACGTCTCTACTAAAAGAATACAAAAATTAGCCGGGCGTGGGGGCGGGCGCCTGCAATCCCAGCTACTCCGGAGGCTGAGGCAAGAGAATCACTTGAAGTGGTGGAGGGGCAGAGGTTGCTGTGGGCTGAGATTGTGCCATTGCACTCCACCCTGGGCGAGAGATTGAGACTCTGTCTCAAAAACAGCCAGCCAGCCATGAAAGAAAAATCTCAGTGAAGGCGGGCATTACACCTGACTAACGCAGGTCACCACGCCCTGCCGTGCCTGGAACATTGTAAGTGCTCAGCCAACCAGTTTAAGGTAGGAATAAAATCTTCAAGATTGCTTTTGTTTAAATTGGGTAACCTTTTGTGTTCCACGTCTTTGGAATAATTTGTATCCTTAATTATTATACTAGCCACTGTTAAATTTTGAACTCCAGTGCTTCCCATGAAGGCAAGGATACAAAACACTTGTGATTGCCGCAGGAAATCCAGACTAATCAATTATCCGGGCCCATTATATCTATGCATCTTTATTTTTCACCTCTTTTCTTATGCTTTTCTTAATCCTTCCAGTTCATATTGACCACTCCTTTTAAAACTGTCATCCTTAAAATCAGAACATAGTTTAGCATTTACTCATTCTTTTATTTTCTTCATGTGATCTATTTAAGAATAAAATCAGGCCGGGCGCGGTGGCTCACGCCTATAATCCAAGCACTTTGGGAGGCCGAGGCGGGTGGATCACAAGGTCAAGAGATCGAGACCATCCTGGTCAACAAGGTGAAACCTCGTCTCTACTAAAAAAATACAAAAA